AGAAAGATGGACTCACACTGTCAGTTACCGCGCCCTTCTATCCCACCTTAACCTACCAGCTGTAGCAGGGATAATTCCTAAAATGAATTGAGTGAGCCAGCCTCACCCAATATTTTCCCACATAAAACCTGGATTAAGATTCTGGTTGATGACCTGCTTCCTACCAATTTAAAGCCAGCCAACTTCTCCCATGGCATCAGTCTGTCTGGATGCATGTAAGCTGAGCCTGGAGAATTTTCATTTCCCCATTGCCTTGAAAGGGTGAAGGGATCCCTTCCATGGGACTTCTCAGGGACTTGGAGTGGAGGGCACATTTGTGTGAGAGTCACACCCTCTAGTTTTCTATCTCCAACCCCTGCCACTGAAAACAAAGCAGGGGCAGATGGCACACTGAGGACTCCCCGGGGGGAAGAAATCTAGACTGGCCCAGGGGCAACGCTTTAAAATGTAAGGAAATACAATAGGAAGGATCATGTTTGGGCATTTGAAAGAAGCAGGTTTGCTTGCCCTCCTGTTTCCATGCTTTCCAGTTTAGTGCTTCTGTGCTCAAATGGGACATACAGGTCATCCTCATTTAGCGACTGTCTCATACAGCGACCATTCAGAGTTATGATAGCGATGAAAAAGGTACTTTACAGCCAATCCTTGCATTTATGACCTTCACAGGTCTGTAAAGCAAAGGAAAGCTGAAGGAATATCACAAGCACAGTTGCGGTTTTACTTAGTGACTGAGTCACCAGTCCCAACTGTGGTCACTAAGCGAGGACAACTTGTACCATATGCCATTTTGCTCACAGCAAAACCAGGGTATTATATAAGAGGCTGTTAGGGGTCCTATCCTGCTGCTGTGCCTGAGCTAGGCCTTCTTTATCAGAAATTATTGCTCTGGACTTGGACATGGAAAGTCTACAAAAGAGAATCAAGCCACCAAAGGATTACCCAAATCAGTTGTGTGCGTATTCCCACTTGAAAGAGAAAGTGTGTATGTGTGTGTGTTGGGTGGATTAACGCAGCCATCATCTAAAAGGACCAGAGATCAGGTGTTGCTCTTAGGTCTATTCAGCCAATCCGCTTGAAGAAAGCCATGTTCAGGATCCGTGTAAAACCATCCGAGCTCTATTTGTAACCCTGGAAGGAGCGTGAAGGATTTCAGCATACACACACCAGAAACTCTTTACTTGCCTCCTTTACCTTAACTACAAACTTCGGCCGACAAAAGAAATCTGTTGCTGGTCTTCTTGAGTCCTGAACTGTCTTGCTCTAGGGCTGTCCTCCCATCCTTGCTCCCAACAAAATTCTATCTGACATTCTTTAAATCTGGCATGTTAAATGCTGGTTCAGATGCAGCCGACCGCAAGAGAGAGAAAACAAATGCTGAGGCATTCACTGCACGGCTCCCCCGTTGGGTGAGGACGGGGGGAGGAAAGCTTTAGGAACCGGGAGGGCTCTTCAAAAGCCGTAGGGAGCTCCTGCTGAAGGCTGTTTTCTCTTTCTTGACATGAAGTCACTCATCCTTCATTCACTTCCCTGGACTCACAGACAAAGCGTGCATGGAGGCAGCATTTAACTACAATATTTGGCATTGGTGCTTTGGGTCTGAAAAATGGCACAGAACTAAGTCTCGGGCATCCGTGGAGGAGATAGAAAAAGTCAAGCGGGCAGTCGTGATCATACAACTGAAGCCCCACCCCTTTTTACATGTGTCACACCTAACAAGGAGTAAGATTGATAGACCATGAACATCTTGACTTTTTGGGCCCCTCTTGTGGACGTCCCTGTCAAGTTCCTCTGATGTTTCCATTGTCCTTTCAGGAAAATGATGGAACAGGGAAAAATGTGCCTGTGATTCTCTATGGATATGGATATAGGAAAATCCATCGTTACCCCTTTGTTTGAGGACCCAGGGAAACTGACCTGTCCACACCCGCCTGTGCAAAGCATCTTCAGCAGTTAAGAAACTACGATCCTAGGAAGAGAGGGAAGTGCAGATTCCTCTAAAACAGTGATCTATCTGCCTGAGAATTTTTTGCACACACAGCTATACCTGAATAAACGTAGCCTGCTTTTTCTCAGTTCTATGACCCCGAACTATTATTAAACAAATGCCTTCTAACATTGGGCTGGAATGAATACATCTAGCGTGAAACAACTTTGCACTAACAGCAGCAGGTGAAAGTTTAACATCCAAAAAACAAGTACAGATGGAAATGCTAAGCTTAGAAAATAACAGATGTGCAAGCCGAGCAAAAAGTTACCGTTTTTTGTTTTTTTAAATGCCCCTTGCAATTACAAGTAGTCATTCCCTTTGGAAAAAGAGACAATCAATAAGGAATGCTTTGGTGTATTCACCACTGAAGAATAAAAAAAAAAACAACTCTTTTTTTTTAAAAAAGTTCATAAATATATAAACACAGTTTTTTTTAAAAAACAACCATTTACAAAAATACATTTTATTGCTAACACTACTGACTTGTGACACTGCAGGATCCTTGTTAGATAGAAAACTCCACTTTGCCAAATCCCAACCCTAAGCAGCAAAACCATAAAGTTTGCTTTTATCTTTGGGTGACAAGATACCTCCCCAAATAAAGTTTAATTAGACGAGAGGAGAAAGATGAAGGATCCTGCACCCTATTTGGCTAATTTGGGAGTAGAACTAGATAAACTTTTATCTCCACTTCATAATAAAATAAAAACCAATAGAAGAATCTTTTATAGACAACTCTAACGATCAAAGGAGCTGGTGTAAAATGAAAGAATTCAGGCAAAAGTGGTATTCATAAACAGTAGCAGCATCACTCAATTATCCAGAAAGTAAGTCCGTATCAGAGAAAAAATGGAGCAGCAAGAAATTGGCTACCTAAAATAAAACCTATATACATAAATCACACACTGAACAAATGGAAATGGCAGTCTGGCAATGACCATAGCATTTCCCAGCAAAGGATCTTCCAGAAACTGCCTCCAGTACGCAGGTGCTAAACCTATCAGCATGTAAACTTGACTATGTAACAAAAAAAAAAGGACCTGCAAGCTAGAAATTCACCCACCATATTAAATATATGGCTTTACAACATGCAAACGTAGTTGCATTGAGGGCTGGCTCTCCTGCAAATTCCTATTTCTCACCACTCAAGTCAAGCTGGTTTCTTGGCCAAGCAACCACCTAGTTCTGGTCTGCCGTCAAACCCATCTTGGTGGACAGACAATTCCTTAAACAAACTTCCTCCCTCGACCTTCACAATTTCCTCCCTGTACTTCTTTTGTGGCACACAGGGTTTGAGCAGCCAAGGGTGCCAGATTTGCCTTTTGAACCGGTTTTGCTGGAGGGGTGTGGCCGGGTGGGTTTTCCAAGCAGAAAGAATGCCAGCTGTTGGTCTCCACTCCTCCTCCGTGCCTGGGCATTGCTTCTCACAGCCAGCCTTGCCTTTGGAGGAGGAACCAGCTGTCCTCCCCAGGGCTCAGCATTCACTGTTCCCCAGGTAAGCCTCACCATTGCTTTGACTTGAGACCTCAAGGCATCTGCATTTCGGGCAAGTCTTGTAAACTGCATGGCTGCCCTTGTAGGAGATGGCTTGGGGGCTGTGGGTGGTGGAAATAACCCATGGCAGTGTTCTGTTGTGGTAGGGGAGGCTGCTGGAATAAGTGTTGATTCTGGCCGGAGTCAGCTGCACTCTGCATCTGTGAAGAACAGATTATTCCACATGAATGGGCTCCAAAAAACATCTACAACTTCAGGTCATCATAGTGTTGGAAGGGAGCACTGAATGCATGCAGTAGGGAAAGGTACCAACTGCAAGTTGATCTAGGCATCCCTTAGCCTAGTGTTTTTCAACCTTGACAATTTGAAGATGTGTAAACTTCAACTCCCAGAATTCCCCAGCCAGCATGCTGGCTGGGGATTTCTGGGAGTTGAAGTTTACACATCTTCAAATTGTCAAGGTTGAAAAACAATTCCCCAGCCAGCATGCTGGCTGGGGAATTGTTTTTCAACCTTGACAATTTGAAGATGTGTAAACTTCAACTCCCAGAATTCCCCAGCCAGCATGCTGGCTGGGGATTTCTGGGAGTTGAAGTCCACACGTGGACTTTTAATTGCCACTTGAACAGGTATGGGCATCACAATCAGCAGCAGAATAGTGTAAAATGGAAGTGGACAATTGCCTACAGCAGTGTTTCTCAACCTTGTCAACTTTAAGATGTGTGGACTTCTACTCCCAGAATTCTGGGAGTTAAAGTCCACACATCTTAATGTTGTCAAGGCTGAGAAACACTGCCTTAGTCTTACACTACCTTGGAATATTTTTCTTCACTTGATCAAACTTATAGGCTGCCTCAATCACCATCACAACCCGAAGGTGCTCACAAAATATAAACTTAAAAATTGCAAAAACTGTTAACCAAGTCCGGCAAAGCAAACTAACCACAGAATCTTAAAGGGGATCCATGGGGGAGCAGGTTTGCAACCTGTCCTGTCTCAAGGCCTGCTGAAACAGTCCAGCATTCCAGCTTTGTGGAAGCCCAGCAGAGTTGGGACCAAGCAGACCTCAGGGGGAAGTTCATAGGGCAAGTGCAGCCCCAGAGAAAGCCCACCTCTGAGGTCCTGGAAGATGACAGTGTTTTAGCAATAAGACCTGTTCTCTATGAACGTATGTCAACATTGTTCATCGGCAACAAAACATTGGAAACTGCCTTATACTGCCACCTCCTTGGACCATCTCAATATTACTTGCAAAGTGATTGCAATGCTCCCAGTTCTAGGTTTTGTGTGGCTTTATCCAACCCAGAACCTTTCATCTGAACTTCATCTCTTTCTCCCATCAGTGGCCTCTATCAGTCGCCACGTTTTGCAAACTGATTACCTGAACATAAAGGTGATGCTGTTGAACTGGCTGAGGTTGCCACTGATGGAGGGCACTAGCAGGATGGCTTTGCTGGACAGTCACACTGGGGTGTGGAATCATCCCGGAGGGGGTGAATACAGGAGATGGGACAGGGGCCCGGATGGCCGCGCACGTGACGGGTTGCATCTGTATCGCAGAAGGCAGACTCTGCTGTTCTTGAGCAAATCTTCCAAGGGAAAAAAATGTAAAGCTTTTTAAAGAATCAGAAATCAAGGATTTCATCCCACTTCAAAGCGAGGTAGCTGGACTGTGGATAGGCTGAGAAATGTGCTTTTGAACGGAAGATGATCAAACAGGTAATAAAACAGGCCAGTTCCTTAGATCTATGGCATTCTTTCTTATGAGCAAGAAAGGAAGTTGGGCTGAATCAATCTAGACATCTTCAATCAACACTGAAAGATTTTTTCTAATTTAAGGTACTGGGTTTTTTTAGAAAGAGCTTTTAATTTAAAAATATTCAAAGTGGTGGGGAAGGTGAGGGGGGAGCAGAGTTTAAGAATGATTGCATTCTTAAATCGGATGCTGTTTTTGGACGTCCAAGGGGTTGGAGGATGCACAAATTATCACATTCTAACTTGGTGCAGTTGTGAATTCCTGAACCGAGCAGAAGGTTTGATAAAATAATCTCTAAGGTCCCTCCAACCTTTACTTTCTATGATCCTGTGAGTAAGTTGGGCCTCATCAAACCATTAGCATCTTCAACTTTTTTAAAGCCTGTGCTCACACACTGTGCTAAACTAAAACTCCTTAAACGATTACAGCTTAGTTCAGTGTTTCTCAACCTCGGCAACTTTAAGATGGGGGGACTTCAGCTCCCAGAATGCTGGCTGGGGAATTCTGAGAGTTGACGTCCCCCCATCTTAAAGTTGCCGAGATTGGGAAACACGGGCTTAGTGCAATGCTGAACAGTTATTCTATTACTTAGTTTCTTGTTCAAGAACATAAAAAGGTGGAGAGATAAAAGGGTTAGCCAACAGAAGTGAAGGCACTAAGGTTCCTTAGTGTTTAGATAAGCATAAAACAAAAGCTATATAAATGTGTTTCATATCAGATATCTATGATACTAATGCTATTTTTTTTGCTATTTTTCATCTTTTATGGTCTGATATAGTCCTGGCTTTACATTTTACAAAAGCTACTGCAGCTTTTTTAGCCTCTAGAGAGGCAAACACTTCCCTTCAATGCAATTGGACTAGTGTTCTGTTTCCCTTGCCAGCTTATTTAAATAATATAACATTTATAAAATAATATAAGGAGAAAATAGGCATTTTCTTCTTCTTTGCTTCTAAATTTGTGTTAAAAGGAGATCCTGGATGTCAGAAGGCTAAAAATGGTCATTCCAGATAAGCTAGCCACAGCTGTGATGCAACCATCTCATGACCCCTTAGAACAAGCATATGAGATGTTCCACCAAGGACATCATTAACTTCTTATTGTTACAGCATTTCCTGGGAGGGCAAAACTACTCTCCAAGAAAACAGCAAGTCAGCTAGGTCAGAATTCATGATCAGTCATCTACCTTTGAGTCTGGAAAACCCTACAATGTCCAGGTCTGGTTTTACAATGCACAAGTCTTCTGTTACATTCAAGGAAAGTCTACAGAATTCACTCAGTAGAGTAATGATGGTCAGATGGTGGCTTACTTGGTCTGTGGCCTACCAGCGTTGCTTTGGGGAGTCTGATTGTTCCCGTTCCCACTGGACATCAATGGCTGCACAGGTTGATCTAACAACATCCTGTGGAAGAAAAACAGCAAACCCAACACACAACGGTGAGAAAAATAGACTGCTGGTGCTGGAGCAATTTCATGCAAGCAGCTCCCATTTTGCCCTGGACCACAGTGCCTAACTGAGGTCCAAAAGATCAGAGAAGGCACCGCTTTGAGCATTACGATCTTCATTTCTGGGAGACTGAACTGAAGACGTTTTGCCACCAACTAGAGCTCTTCCTCATTTCTCAGGATCTCTCTGCATCCGTACCTTAAACTTTGATCTTGGCTGTAATCAGGCGGCTGCGGCCTCTCACCCAGTTCAGGTGGCATGGGAGGGGGCACAGTGATAGGGTGTGTTTGAGAAAAAACCATGGGGTTGTTATAGACGGGTAGCGAAATGCTCATCTGTAGAGGCATGCACACCGGCTGGATCTGGTTTCCTCTCACAACTTGCTTTCGCTGCTGGGGCGGCCCCTGAAATAAAAACAAAAATGCCTGAAACCCTGAACAGGAGCCTTGCAGGCTGCAGGAAAAAATTGGTTCAGAACCCGCAGATACAATCCAATAAACTTCTGAAGTCACAGGAAGTCCAATTCTAGCTGAACGTTAGGCAAACGCTCCTTCACCACAAGAGGAGTTCTGCAGTAGAACCGACAACCAAGGGAGCTGAGGGGCTTCCATTCAGTTGGTTATTTTCAAGCAGAACCTGGACAGCCACCTGTCAGAGAGGCTTTCATTTTGATTCCTACGGGGAGCAAAGGGCTGGACTGGCAGCCCCAAAGTCTCCTTCAACTCATTGCTGATGTTGAGTTGTTGATGTGAACTGAAAGTCAGATTAGCATGCAGCAAACCAAACAGATTGCAAGGAAGCAGCAGAAATTTAGGATTTAGAAATCTAATGATGTTTATACCTATAGTGGCACGTATGCTATTCTAAGACTGTAATAAAGACAGACAGACATAATGATACATGATAGACAGACAGACAGTTACATCTACATCACTTAAATAAACAGATCTTCCCTGTGTATATATGCATTCTCAAAGACAAAGAACAAGGCAACGGGCTGAATTGCCCCACAAGGAGGCAATTCCAGATCTACAGTCCCACCATCCATAACACCCTGTAATCTTCTGTGATTCGCAACGAAGGAATAGCAAGCCGGGCCATGGAAGCAGAACTAAAATGTCCAAGTGTCCACAGTGAAAACATGACACCGGCTGACTTCACCGACTAATTTTAATCTCATTTTCTAATTCATCTTTTAAAGTTTCGTCTTAGCAAGTTCTCTCTCATCAGTGGGAAACGATCAGAACGATACCTTACCTGGGTTTCGAATAATTTCTGATCTTTGATTGTAATCACGATTTGATTTGACTGTCCATGTGGGTTTGTATAGGAGAAATTAATCCTGTGATTACAGATTGCACGACTTGGG